ACAGGCCAACATTTATTTGTCTTTCCTAATACCTGCTGAACTTGGAAGCTTGCTTTTTCTTGAGGGCTCTCAATGACCCTTAACACCTAGCCCCTTCTCAGAGCATCTTTCCATGCCACACTGGGGATGGGACACCTCTCTTTGCTTGATCTAAGATTCCAAACATCACTTTCAGGTGTGGCAATGATTTAAATGTATCTCGTCCAATCTAGTTTACTGCACTGTAAGCAATGAATACAATCGCCTCTATGTTGCAGAGACCAGGCAAAGATTGTGACCTGCCACTTGCACATTGTGGAACGCTTTTATTCAGCCTGCAAATGGGACTCTGAGCTTCCAGGACCTGCCACTTTAATTCTCCACCTTACTTTCCTATGGTCATCACTGGAACACTGCAGGAGGAAGACAATGATGAAACCCACTGCAAACCCAGGGAGTTGTATCTTCTCAGCCTTGTGGACACAACACGGGAGTCAACAATTTCAGACACTAAACTTTGCTCCTCCTTGTTCCTTTTTATTTGGCGTGTGTTAGCCTTAATCTCATTTTTCTTGCTCTTACTTGGAGGCACAACTGTTCTTAATTCTGCATTTAGTTCCACTCTGAGCAAGTGTTTTATTTGTTTATGACAGTCATTACCACTCCCTTCACCTTTGTGCCACGAGATCTTGTGTCATTTACCATACCCTGCCATCCATCACATCTTCACATTTGGTCCTTCTATACCCTGCCACTTTCCACTTGCTCAAACTCTTTTACATTTATTTCTATTTTCCTTAATATTTGAAGTAAGGCCCTTGATCTGAAATGTTAACTTTATTCCTCTCTCCACAGATGTTACCAGATCAGAGAACTTCCAGCAATTCCAGTTTATATTTCTGTCTTTACATTACTTAGTTGGTGGGATTCAAGGTGGCGTTGACACAGGGTAACTCTTTGCGAGCTCTCTACAGCGGATCTTATTCTCACATTTCTTACAATTGTTCTGCACTTTTAAACCTCAATTCTAAGTCTGTTAAAATTATTAACAATGCTCTCTTAAATCTACTTGCAGGTCTGGAATGGGCCTCTCAAATTTCAAATCTAATGATGATCTTGCTTTTTGTGCACCTTCTCTGCAGCTGTAACTTTGTATTCCTCGCTCTGTTCAATCACCCTATGATCTTTGTATGGTATGATCTGCCTGTACTGCTCGTGAAAAAAATTTTTTCACTGTACTTCAGTACATGTGACAATAAATCAAATCAAAAGTCTGATTCAGAAGGTTAAGTATTCTAGACCTACTGTAGAACTCAAGAATACAAATTGAATTTGACACGCTAGTGTAGTGCAGAACTGAGGGAATGCTTCAGTTTTAGTTGAGCCACCTCCCAAGTCTCATCTACTTTTTAAGGAGGGCATAACAGTTTCCATGGCCAATATTACTCCTCAAACTAACCTTTCAAAAAACAAACAGGTTATCCAGTTATTATCACAATGCTGTTTGTAGGATCTTTCTGTGCACAATTTGGCTGTCATATTGCCTACATTATCTCACTGACTGCACTTCAAAAAGCACTACATTGGCTATAAAACAATTCAGACACCCTAAAGTTGTGAAAGGTGCTATGTGGATGTGAAACTTGTTTCTCCTCTTGTCGCACACAGAGGAAACGACATAACTGGAGAGAACGGAAAAGGAAGAGACGGCACATAATTCAGGGTCAGACACTGGGACATTTCCTCAGAAAAGCAATTTCAACAGTCTAGATTAAAACTGTGAAAATACACATAGGCTCGAAGTCACAAAGCAAAAGGTGAGACAACATTTTCTTCAGAAATCAAGAACCAAAAACTAAGCATAAATTTTAAGTTGACATTTTCTTTTGACAAAATAAAGGGAGAGAGAATTTTAGCATGCTAACAAAAATAAGTTGAATGACAATCCACTTAAAAAAGGAAAAGGTAGTTATTACTTCATTCAGGTGATAGTTATAATACAAAAGTAGCTAGTTACATTAAAATGAATGTATAAACAGTCAAGAAAATGAGAAATCAAGCACAGAAAACAAAAGGTGAAAGGGGAAGCAGACTGGGACAGAATTGAACAGGTCTGTAATTAAACTGAACATTATCTTCTGTGCTGTACATTCCAGGTAATTTTATGCAATAAAGAAAAACAATCACTCATCACACCCACTTTCTATTTTCGCAATGGAATGTCAGCATTGATGACAGAGCTAGTACTTGTTCTCACCTCTAATTGCTCTCGAGAAAGTGGTGGTGAATTACTGCAGTACCTGTGACGTAGGGACACTCTCAGTGCTATTTTGGATGGGAGTTCTGGATTGTGACCCAGTGACAGTGAAGGGATAGGAAAATCATTCCAAATTAGGTGGCATGTGACTTGGAGATAAATGTGAATATGATATGGTGTCTACTGTTTGTTCCCACTGGATTCTGACAAACTACAGACAGTGATTCCCTGAAATTTACATCAACCAGGAAGTAGATAAACTTTGCAGAATGATAATCAGTCAGATCTTCACTAGAGAGAGAGAGCGCATGTGTGAGAGAGAGAGAGAGAGAGAGAGAGAGAGAGAGAGAGAGACACAGAGACAGAGAGAGACAGATGCATTTATAAAGCACCTTTATGCCTTAGGAAGTACGAAAGTGTTTTACATCCCTGCACTCCTGAAAGGTGATCAATGTTGTCATGTGGGAAACATTGCTGGCAGTGGAGCTACATGGCCATATAGTGACTACCATATAATCTGCTGGTTGAGGGATTATCTATGCCCAGGAAACCCGGGATAACTGCTCTTATTCTTCTTAGAAAGTGTGTTGTGGGATTTTCTTCTTACATCCCCTACAAAAATGTATAGGTGTGAGGGCAGGTGGGACATAAATTTAACATCTTATTGGAGAGTCGTCAAGACCAAGTTTGCAACGCAATTCCGTATCTCTGACTTCCTCAGTTCCGCATCCCTGAGATACCTGCAATCCTCTAATTGCAGCCTTCCAGCACCTCAGATTAACCTGCTCCACCATGGGCAGCCGTGCACTCAAGTTACTTGCTTAGGCTATTAGCTCTCGAAATCCATCCCTAAAACCTCTTCCCGTCGTTGTCTCACCTCAAATGTTTCCACACAAAAGTTAGAGCTCATGGCATTTGGCATGAATAAAGAATTGTTGGGCTAATAGGAAACAGAGTATCAGCATAAACGTCAGAGATAGTAATTGCCGATGCTGGAGTCAGAGATAACACAGTGTGGAGCTGAAGGAACACAGCAGGCCAGACAGTATCAGAGGAGCAGGAAAGCTTACGTTTCGAGTCGGGACTTTCTGAAGAAGGGTCCCGACCCAAAACGTCAGCTTTCCTGCTCCTCTGATGCTGCCTGGCCTGATGTGTTCCTCCAGCTCCACACTGTGTTATTAGCATGAATGTGTTACTTTTGGGTTGGCAAGATGTAATGATTGAGAGTCCCAAAGGGATCAGTGTGGCACCAACTATTTACAATCTACACCAATGGCTTGAATGAAGGTACCAAATGTATAGGTATTAAAATTTGCTGATGACACCAATATAGAATGGATAGAGCTCTGAGGGGGCATGAAGAGTCTACAAAGGGATTAAGTAGATTAAGTGAGTGCAGCGCCTGGGAGTATATTATGACCTTGGTAGTTTGTAAATCCTTCCAACACACTCCACTGTAGTTTGCGTGTAATGGAAAGAAAGCTGGAGGTTCTGTCACCACTATCAACATTGTCGGGATATAAACTGCACGGAGAAAGTACATTTTACCAGTGCAACTCTGACATCAAGTGATCAGCAACCCATGATACAGGACATCATTAAATTACTTACTTACTTCCTCTACAAACATCAAAAGAAGAAAAGGTACAATTTGTGGCACAAATACAAGGGAGCTATTTCCTCAACTACAGTTGGTGCAGTTTAGTGACACACACATTGGCTTTGCTGAGTTAGTGAATGGAGGGAAAATAATAATTAACCATTCTTTTGAAAGGTACAGATGCAAATCTGAATGGAGTTTAATGGTTTAATCTATATAAAAACCCCCTCACCTCCCCAAGAATATTGCTCCTGGCAACACTCAGTGCTAATGGTTATGAGATATGGCATTCATATGGGGATTGTGTCTATCACTGGCTAGGCTGGCCATTTTTTCCTCGATCCTCAATTGCCTTTTCAGAAGTTCTGGTAAACCACCTTCACCAATTGCTGCAGTACACATAGTGAAGGCAATCCCACAGAGATGTTAGGGATGGAGTTGCAAGACTTTGACTCAGTGAGGATGAAGGAGAGATCGATACACAGTACAGTGAGGGCATGCTTGTGCTCTTACATTCCTGCTACCTGCAAAATGGGTATTTGGAACAGCTGTTTTTAGAGCATTTGTAGATCCCAGTAGAACTGTACTGTGATACAAGTCAATTTGCATGAAAAGAGGAAGATTAAAAAAAAAGGGAAGGAAACAAAAAGGAGGAAAATGGGGGACAAACTCCTGGAGTGAAGCAATAACTGTAGGTAATGTTGTCACCTCCAACTAGACACATTGGTGAAGATTTAATCAAATCACATCAAGTCCAATCACGCTGCCCAGCCGAACCATTTCAATCCCCACCACCCCCACACCATCGCCAATATTTGTTGGTGTGGACTTTTTGGGCCGAATGACCTGTTTCCACACTTGTAGGGGTTCTGATTCAAAATGCCCACTATAACAGTTATCTCACATTACTCATTGCAGTATCTTAGGGTTTATTTCTCAAGTCCTGGGGACTGTAGGGTAATCCTGGAAATTGGGCACTCTAGCAGTATACAGGAAACATGATGATCCTAAAGATTTGAATGGATTGAACAAACTGAATCAATCCTAAAGTTCAGTCACATCAACTCTACAATCTATTACTCCTATATTGTGATCAATGAATAAATTTGTCATAACGCATGCTCATTTTACAGATTAATCTTACAGATTAAATTCTGTACATACCAAAGACTTCATTGTCCTCTTGTGAGTCCATGGTTAGGCTTCGCGTCTCAGTTTCACACACAGCCTGAAATAAATAAAACAAGCAGTTACTTAACAAACGCCATCCCATTTTTCTAGTGGAAGAGTCATACTGAAAGGTGTGGACATTTCACTCTACTTTTAAACATACAATAAAATGAAAAAGGAGAAAGCAAGGTGGCTACACAACTCTCAGACATGAGATACAATTCGGGGAAATCTCTTCTCAATCATCCTTGGATTTCACACCACTTTAAATGCTACTTTGCTATTCTCCACTTCCTGTATTCCTTGGGGAAATCTTCCTGCTTTCATCAGGAGACACCACAGTAGTTTTGGTTTGGAGCTCTGTTTGCTGTAACTTATAGGGAGTCTGTTTAATTAGACTCGACAGCAAACAAATTCCTCAATGTATAAAATCCCAGCCCACCATCAGGCCCCAAAGCTCCATACATTTCAAAAAGTACTTAATTGGCTGTATTGTAGGAAACAAGCCAATTTGCCCACAAGCAAGATCTTCAAACACTGCAACATGATAGTGTCCAGATAATCCGCTTTTGTGATACTGGTTGAGGGGTGAATGTTGGCCAGGAGACCTCCATTGCTCTCTTCAAATAGCGGCATGGGACTTTTAACATCCAACTGCGGAGAGCAGACAAGGACTCATGTTGAACATATCTAAATCACAGATTCAATTTGAACCTTAATTATTATTTCCCCAAGGACTTGTTTTAGCAACTCTAATTAATGAATGAAAACATACTCATTATCACTAACATTAAAAAACAAACAAATATTCAGTGTCCTCAAGGTGTAAAACCAACCGCAGAAAACAACAATCAGAAGAATCTTCACATGGGTATGATTTTTTTGTTACACGTATCGATTTAATGGCTGGAATCATCTGCTTGCAGCGGCGATGAACTTTGAGGTGGGCATTTCATTAGGCAAATGGTCACGTTCCGCCTTGCCTCGGTCACAGGTTGACCACCACTGCCAATTGGCCAGTGAAAGGCCACACACTGCCGAGGTTGGGATTAACCCAGCTGCAAATGGACCTGTCACCGTGCAGCGTACACAACACTTCAAACTGTGCAGGGTCACTGGCCATCTTGAAAAGGGAGCGAAGGTATGCCCTCAATAAAAAAAAAGTGAATCAGTGCGTGATCAAGTGTTTAAACATTCGGAGGCATTCAACTGCCTTCGCTTCCGAGACCATTCCTCCTGTGAATAGCCCCACATTACCAGGGCCCTCTGTGATCCCAGAACCATAGGAGTGCAGTTGGTGGTGGTAATGGCTGCCACCTTTCACTGGGCAAGTCTTCTGCCCAGCTGCCCCCTCATCCCCTGCTTTTGATTCCAATGGGAAGTTCTCCTAATAGTTTTTACACGGTCCGAGCGTTTGTTTTTGGTTAGGTGGGCGTTTCCTGGGGATAATCAGCACGGGTCTCCGGCCTGTTGAAGACACCCTTAAAAATGACCTTAACAAGATTTCAAATCAAATTTTCAACATAAGTCTTAGAAGGTGTTTTTATCCTCTGAAGCATGAAGTGAGATTTCACAGGCAGCAAGAGACTTTGAATGGAGATCAAATTTGCTTCCAACTTTTGACATCTCAATTCAGTCATCCTGACTCATTACTAGATTCGCAAAATTATGTAATAGATATTATAACGCTCTAAGGCTGTCTGTTCACAAACCCTTTAAAGAGGTAAAAATGATTCTAAGCTGTTCTGGGTTTCTTTTACATGGCTTTAAAATAAAAACACACTACTTTAAATCCAATTCCACTGCAAAATTGTGTATTTCAGCAGCCCCCGGCCATTTCATTACACCTGCATTATCTTCACAAACTTTGCTGCCTGACACATAATCGAGTTTATGTGGATGCACTGAGCAGACATTGGAGGGAACTGACAGATTGACAAATAACCATGGAGAAAGGGAAAAGTGGGAACAGGCTGCCACCTGGTGCAGGAATAAGTAACTATATAAAGAAAGAACCAGAAAACGCAATGGGTCAGCCTCTTCAACTCTGGAATCTCGGGTTTGAATCCATACGACTCCAGAGAATGGAGTACACAGCACAAGATGACACTTCACCACAGTACTGATAGAGTGCTGTACTATTCGAGGTGCCATCTTTTAGGCGAGACACTAGAGAAAGCCCTCAACGTATCCTCTGTGGCATGATGTGAAGAGGACCCTAATGGCCTCACCAACAGATATTTCTCCACCAACAAACACGGATAAAAAAAAGACAGAATATCAAATCATTATCACCTTGTTGTTTCTGACATGCCAGTTGACTCCAGTGTTTCCTACATTAAAGCAGTGACTACATTTAAGAAAATGTTTCACTAGCTGCAAAACTAGTTGGGATGCTAACAGGCATTGCATGTGGGAATAAAAGAGACAGACATTTTCTGTAAAAAGTGAGGAACACCTGCTTCACGCATGGGTGAATGAACCACTTTGTTCAGTTCACACAATGTGGTAGCTGGGGCATTTGTGATTGAGGACTTCTGAGAGCTACATAGAGTGTGAAAACCAGGAACTATACTGTCCAATTTTCTCTTCAATGACATAACTTCTTTGTGTAAAGCATCATGTTGTCCAATTCACTGACTCTTCAGAAAGAATTGTGCACTGTGATGCTAAACTTTTCCGATTTCCTCAAGAAAGAAAACACAAAACTAGCAAACTGTCATTAATCTATCAGGGAATGTCTCATGCAACCAAAATATTTCCTCCAAAACACATTGTCGGGCAAACAAAAGACAAACTACTGACCAAAGTTGAATTTGAAGGATATTACATTCAGAGGTCACAGATGGCATGTTTGTCCTATAGCTTACTCGAATTTACCCCTCATTTAGTTTTCAAAGTTTAATCATGTGACTGCAAAATGTGATTGAAGCTTTCTTGTAAAATTGCCTTTTGAGTACTGTCAATGTCATTTTCAGGATGCCTGCATGCAACAGTTAAAAAGGACGAGACTGCAACGGACATTTTGACCCTAAGCTATTACTGACTGAAGACAGTCGTCATCCACACCTGTGCCTTTAATATGGATTTTTCTAGAATCAGGTTTTGTTTATCATTTGAGGTGAAGGTGACCATGTTCATCATCTAGAGGGTTTGATAGCAGTCATGGAGCAATACCCACTCGCAACCCAAATCCAATCTCAATCTGGAAGGTTCTACTCCAAATAGTACAGGATGATGAAGGCAACGAAGGGTCACCGGACCTGAAACATTAACTCTGATTTTTTTCTTCACAGATGCTGCCAGACCTGCTGAGCTTTTCCAGCAACTTCTGTTTTTGTTTCTGAAGACGACAAAGTTTTGACTGAGTTAGAAAGACAAGTATCTCCTCTCCTTCACGTTTTCACTCTCCGTAATGCAGGTGAGCACATCTTGTTTTTATTTGTTTGCTTCCTGGAGAAATTTCCCAACTTTCATCAGGAAACATTGCTGTAGTTTTGGTTCAGCGTTGTGTTTGCTGTAGTGCGTAAGGACTCAGTCTAATCAAACAGTGTGCTAGTGAAATTGTTTGTCACACGTTCCACCACACTGCCAGCTTACTAGCTGGCACAATAGACACATTAAAGACAGACCCTGTATTTATGTAACACAGCAGGCCAGGCAGCATCAGAGGAGCAGGAAAGCTGACGTTTTGGGTTGGGACCCTTCTTCATTTCTGTCAACCCGAAACATCAGCTTTCCAGCTCCTCTGATGCTGCCTAGCCTGCTGTGTTCCTCCAGCTCCACACTGTGTTATGTCAGACTCCAGCATCAGAAGTTCTTACTATCTCTGCATTTATGTAGCTCCTTTTGTGACCTCAGGATGCCCCAAAGTGCTGCCCAGGCATGTTCCAGAGGCACCAGGGGGAGATCGGGGAGATGGCAGCTGGCAGCTTGAACAGCAGCGGTGATGGCATTGTAGCCCAACACTGGAACAGTTAGGGATGTCCCCCAGTATCTTCGGCAGTAGTATCGAGAACAGGCAGCTAAGGTCTCCCGGGGAGAGAGATAAGTGGAGAACTCAAAGACTGCTGAACTTTTAACTTAATTCCTTTATTTTTCTAGTTAAAATTAGCGAAGGACTTTAATGTTAACTATTACTTTTTTATTCTTTATTTATCTGCTTATTTTATGAGGGTAATACTTAATTCTTTAACTCTGTTTTTCTTACTACTTTTTACCCAAGTTTTTTGTATCTAGGTGCCTTTGTATCTAAGATGGCAACATTACACACTTTTCACTTGAGTACATGTAATAATAAAACCTAAATCTAAATCTAAAGTCTGTAAAGAAGATTTGATTTGGTAACCTAGTGTCAAGCACTCTCACTACATGACTAGCCCAACTGAGTTGAGACTGTCAAAACAGGATTTGGGTACTTGGCAAGATAACTCAGTGAGCTCCCGAGTGTCCAATATTTTCTCCTGACAACACAATTTCAACAGCTTCCAAAGGCAGCTCAAGTGAAAATGGTTGAGCATGATGCTGGTAATAGTCCATGTCTTGAATGGGTGAAGCAAATTATCTAGTGAGCAAATGTTCTGCCCAGTCTGTTTGGTCGGCAGACTTGCTCCTCTTTGTTCCTGTACTGATGTTCAAAGTCCTCCAAAGGGTACACTTGCTTTGGCAATTCTTGCAGGTGTTGAGTCTTTTTTGGTACTTTATTCATTGGATGAGGGCATCGCTGGCAGAAGGCAGTTAAGAGTCAACCACATTGCTGTGGGTCTGGAGTCACATGTAGGCCAGATCAGGTAAGGATGGCAGTTTCCTTCCCTAAAGGATGTTAGTGAACCAGATGGGTTTTTCCGACAATCGGCAATGAATTTGCAGTCATTGTTAGACTCTTAATTCCAGATATTTATCGAATTCAATTTCCATCTGCCATGGCAGGATTTGAACCCAGGTCCCCACGACATTATCTGGGTCTCCAGATTGACAGTCCAGTGATAATAGCACTAGGCTATCACCTCCCCAAAGCGGAGTCATCAATATATACAGCATGAGAGTGTATGCAGTGAA